GCTAATTCTAAGCCCAGTTTCAGTAATTGAGTTCAGTGACTAAGACTTTCCTGCATCTCTGTATTATTGCTGGTAAAATGGTTAGTATTATTTATTCTAATTGTGGCAAGTAACATATCAATTCTGTTGTTTAGTTGTTCTTCAGGCTTTTGTTCAATCATTTGCTATGTTAACGTATCATTCATGTATTTATTTATTCCAGTGTTTCCTGTTTCTCTCTTGTGTTGTTTCCCTGGAAAAAGGCTTTGTAAACACCCAGAGTCCTCCAATATCCCATGATGCCGCCCAGTCAGGTTCATCTTAGCTCTGTGTGTCCATACTGTATCGTCACAGTGCAGGCTGCTGCTGTCCAAATAAAAGTGAGAGATTTCTTTGAAAAGTGAGGGATTTGCCCTCAGGTTTTCTGTGGTGTCTGTCTGAACGGTGCTGAACTGGTGTTGCTTGTGCGATACATACTGACAGAAGTTCAATATTTGTGTTAGCAGGCCACAGGTGTCTCTCTCCTCCCTCACTGGGTGTTTATCAGCGCAACCCAGACCTATCTCCTGTAGGCACTGTACCCTCTTATAGTGCAGTCCTGTTCTGTTGAGTCGGAAGACGACGTGCGAACTTTCCCAACAGCGCAGCCCGAGCCCTTTCGCGGGGCGAACCCTCCCGTGAAGTGTCCGCAAACAGGGCGAAGAAAAACAGGCTGGCCAGCACGCCCTGTGCGCTCAGGCCCTGGTTGAAAACGCTTTGCCTCGGAGGAGGAGTGGGCGTCCGCCAGATCGGCGGATCAGCCCCCTCCCTCTGCCCTGCCGCGCTCACAAGCGCAGAGGGGGGAGGGCTCATTCACACGGGCGACGTGCGCGACTCGAAGGGGAGATCCCAGGAGCCGCAGGGGGTTTATCTGATCCGGCCAGCACCATCGTCTCTGCCCTCCCCAGTCGGTGTTTAATTTATTCCTTCAGTTAAAGACTTATATTCCCCCCCCACCACCACCACCACCACCACCCCTGACACTCTAATCCTCTCAGGGGAGAGACAGGAGGGAGGAGGAGAGAGCGACAGATGGCTGTAGAGACGTCAGCCCCTCACCTCCTTCCCAGACACGGCCGGGGGATTCTGGGAAATCACAGCTGCCCATTGACGTGAGCCTGTGCTGCAATACAGTATGTGCCAGTAAGGAAGAAATAAATTCACTGAATGACTACAGTGATACAGTGACACTCCAGTTCATTAACACTGCACTGAGAGAGAGAGGGGTTCATACAGACACACTGACTGGACACTCCAGTACATGAACACTGCACTGAGAGAGAGAGGGGTTCATACAA